AGTAGCAGTAGAGACAGATCCAGATAACATCAGGTCAAATGTCCAAGGAGGTCATACACAGAGGGTAAACGCAGAGAGGGTTCCTTCCAATCGACTTCAGCAGCCAGAACAGGTAAGGTTTCTTTTTTTTTCTTCTTTCTTTCACTCATCACTTATCTAAGAAAATCATCTATTAATGTACCTCTGCATGGTGGGCTAGAAGGTAAAATGCAACCCACACAGAGAAGCATATTTTAAGCAGATTCAAATTTTTAAAACATTCGATACCCCTTTGTAAAAATAGTCGGTAATGGTAAAGAAAGAACAAAAATATTGCATAGAGTTTAGGTTTAGGTTAGAGTTTAGTCCATGACCTGCCATAAGCTTTCCAAGTAGGTCAAGTTCATTTTTACTCAATGCAGTCACTAATTCAATCAATAGGCACTCAGCAAGGAATTATTAATCATAATAGATGGAAGATAGTGCCTGAATAACTGCAAACTCTGGTAACTTATTTCCCACAATCTTAGAAAACTGCAAAATGTAATATTTCATCAGCATCCTTCTCCCAGATGAATGTAATGTCATGTCATCATGTCATCTGTTATTTTTAAGGCTCTATACCTATTTTGTATAACTAGTGCATTACTATGAATATCAATTACATTTTACTTATTATAACTGAACAGCAGTCAAGCAACAGGCTCCTCTCTGATGATGTCAACAGTTCTCCATTTGGAGAAAGTGCCTTACAGTTACTTCATCAACTCAGAGAAAGACTAAACACCAGAGGTAAGACAAGATGATAATATATTTCAGTTACTGTTGAATATTTGTTTTGTATATAATTTCCTTTTTACAAGGAAATAAGTAATTTAAATTTACTGTATATTTATGTATATCTACTATATATATATATATATATATATATATATATATATATATATATATATATATATATATATATATATCCATCATCCATCCATTGGTATACCCAACTTTCTCTATGTATTAACAAGCTGATATGACATTTCAGTTATTGTAGAGAATTTTATTTTACTATATTTTTGTCATCAATTTCATCAAAATTTCCTTTTAAAAGATGTATGATTTAAATTGACAGTATATTTGTATGTATATATCTATATGTATCTACATAAACCCAACTATCTTATAATAATATATATATATATATATATATATATATATATATATATATATATATATATATATATATTATATATATTATATATATATATATATATAAATGTTCATATTTTTATAAATATAAAAGATAATATATATACTGGAAATGGATTCAGCTAAATTCATATACTCATTATTTTCAACAGCTAGCAGCATGAACTAAACATAATCTTTCATTCTGAATCAATACAATTACACACTTATGATGTAGGTGACAGTGAAGGAAGCAACATGGTTGGCGTTCTCGAGGCATTTATTGGCATGCGAGGCAGCATGGGTAGTGTTGGCACGGGCAACCCTGGCTTTCAAACTGATAGTGCTTCTCCTCTCTACACTACTGTCTTCCAAACACCGTCAAGCCAACCCACCTCCTATGGGATCAGTCAACATCCTGGGATCACAAGATGTCAGCAGCTCCGACAAGAAGCAGGTCAGCCATCATGCAGAAATGCTGCCAGCCAGCAACAGAATCAGCAACACCAGCCAACCAGCCAAAATCCGCAAGCAAATAAGAGACAAGAGAATGATCTTGAAAGCAAAGAAGCGAGCAGTGACAAGACTAATAGCCACAGGGAAAAGGACATGGAACAGTTAAAGAGGTATGAAAATTTCTGCTGTAAATACATATTGATAAATGCTATTGTAACCTTGTTTGTTGCTGAGTAGTCATTGAAAGGGATTGTATTGATTTATTGACATTTTATTACTCAACACTTTTTGCTTGAATTTGATATTTTTTCTTTATTCACAAACCATTGGCCAAATTTAGATTGTGAAGAGAAATAAAAGATGAGAATACTTTCAGTTTTGTTATAATTAGCAGTATCTTTTGTTTGATGCTTTATATTTATTTACAATCTTTGAGCTTGATGTTGGAATTTGTGTTCCAGAGTCATAGAACATCAGAGGAGGATTATATCTGAACAGGAAAATAATATTCAAGAGCTGAAGACGTTGAGTGCACATATTTTAGCACAAAAGGAGGAGGTAATTGTCATTTTAGTGTATTTTGATGTTTTATGGATTTTTTTTCCAATTTGTTTTTAAAAAGTTCCTTCTTTTTCCTCACCTCTCCTTTTTACTTCGCCTCCCCTATTCTATTCTATTCTCTCCCCTCTCCCTCTACTCCTCTCCCCCTCTCCCTCTCCCTCTCCTCTCCTCCTCTCCCCTCTCCCCTCTCCCCCTCTCCCCCTCTCTCCTCTCTCTCTCTCTCTCCCTCTCCCTCTCCCTTCATCCATCCATCCATCCACAATTGTAACAAGAAAATTTACAGTTCTTGCAGGCAGCCCAGACACATCAGAATGATAAAGAATCACGCACAAATCCCAAGAAAGACTCAACCCCCACACAGTCTTCTGCACAAAATCGAGACAGTGGATATGGTTTTGAAGAAGTGGGGAAGGCAGACACTCCTGTGCACTCAGAAGACAATTCAACAGAGGAAGAAGAGAGCAGACAACCTGGAAGAAAGGCAGTGAACAAGCAAAGAAAAGCAGATAGGGCTTTGAGATCATCTCTATTACAGTTACAAACTGAGAACCAAATATTGCGGAGGGAAGTGCAGAGTAATCGTGATCTTATACTGTAAGTACTGGGAGTAGCTGCCATTGATGCATATATGACTTTAATTCAGAAAGGGGTTTTCTCATATTGGGTTATTATTATCTAATTTATTAAGGCTCATTCTCTCTAATATTTTGAAGAATCAATGTTATGCTGTCATTAGTACCACCAATAATTATCACTTTTATTATTATCACTGTTATCACTTATTTAATTATTTCAGTGTATTAATTAATTTTTGCTCTTTACAGAAATCTAGAAAACCAGTTGACCAGAGCCTACAAAGAAATTGACAGTGAACGTCAGTCTCGTTCTGGTCTCTCCATATCTAGACTCTCAGGATCAGCACCGAACTTAGACCTAATAGGACATCGCAATGAAGCAGTGTCCACAAAGAGCCGAACAAACAAGAGAACACCATCTGTCTTGGGGGAGAGTGAGGCAGATTCAGCATATGAAGAGAAAAGTGGCTCTCATCTCACATCAAAAATCAATTCCCCTCACTCTGATGGTCAACAAGGGAAAGATTCAACAATAGGTTCTCTAAGATCACTCCCTATCCAGTCAAGGGAAATTCCTGAGCGAGAGAGGACGACAGTTGCCACAACACATGACATTCCCACCGATACAGCTCTTCTTCAGACAGGATATATTGGCAAGGAGATGACTGTACCTCATACCCTCATGAATGCAGCTACCATTCCAACAAGTCAGTTTCTGTTGCAAAATCCTGTTCTTACCACCCAAGGAAATGATTATGGAGAAACGAAAGAATCAGCAGGGAAGGTCGCACCAACTGTTTCAGAAGTTTCAGATGAAGAAAAGGGTAGACAAAAGTCTTCAAAGCCAAGTCGACAGCTCAATAACAGCCGGCAAGCACCCTTACCCAAGAAAGGTCTTGATGGCCTAGGAATCAAAATCAGTGACCTTGACCCTAAACCAGTAGTTGTTCTACAAGATCCAACATTTACTTCCTTCAGCACTGTGAGTGAACAGAGTTATCAGGAAAGTGTTTTAACCTGTGAGAATTCTTTTCTTGAAGGAATCGCAATGTCAAGGCATGCATCAAAACCTAACTCTAGGGTCGCATCACCTGCAAACCTTAATAACACGGATCATTCTTCTGTAGAGCTCCACCCACTTGAATCTACTAGAGTAAAAGCTTCTTTCCACACTTTGAGTGAGTCTCACGAATTTGTTGCACTAAAAGGAAATGAGACCAGCACCTCTTCAGAATTTAATAGTGTTGAAGAACTGGAGTAAACTCACTTTTTTGTAAATACTGAATCATTGAAGAGTAATACAAGATAGAAAATGTATTTGTAAAGTCTGTTGGATAATGATATATTGTGGCATTTATTTTGACTGCCTTTTTCTTTTTTTATATATAAAGGTGAAAGTACTTATCCTAATTATTATACTCAAACTGCTGTTGTATGACAGTTTGATATTTATATCTCACTACCCCTATTAGATTGTTTTATCTCTCTGAATGCATTTCTAGAAAATATTTTTATGTATTTTCCAACATAACAAAGTAAATTCCTCGCTATATGATCTCATAAAGTGTGCATTTCCATTATTCAATGTTAGTAATAATTTTGATGTGGTTTAAATTGTGTGATAGTTAAATCAGTATCGTGTTTATTTAATCATTATTATACTTACACAGTTAGATAGGTACTCCGCACACAAAAAATAGCTTTTATAGCACAGGTTTTATTGTTGCAACTACCATTCACTTTTCAGTACATTTAGATCTTCCAGTTCATCAGTCATCCATCCCAAATGTAGTACCTGGTACTTAATGCTTCTGAGCATTAAGTTTTAGATTAAGAGTAGATATATTTAAGACATATTTTTGGGCATATGGCTTTTAGATGATTATTACTTCAGGGTGCATGTTAAGAGGAATACATTCTTTGCTGATAAATGTCTGTTGAAATATACAAAAATTGTAATATGTACAAAAAGCTAAGACTTTTTAGTAGGAACAGAAGGTGAAAGCCTTTTTTATAATATTAAATATATTTATATCCAAATGCGCTTTTAAAACATAGCATAGAAATCAGTTTGTCACAATGGATTTACTTTACTTAGTACAGTGTTAATATTCTTAAGTAGTAAATACCTTGATTACTGTTTACTTTTATCAGGCTTGTGGCAGTGCCAGATGTCTGAGACATACCATGAGACTTTTTCTGAAGTATGAGAGAGAATTTTTGCACTTATGTTTTATATTTTTGCGATAT